TATCGAATTAGACAATCAAGCGGAACGCCTGGATGCGGAATGCAATTTTGACAAACAGACGTACGACGAGGTAAATAATTAAAATTCGAATTTGATTCAGGAAAAAATCGATATCGAACTAAAAATCGAAAAATCGGAAATCAAATTTTTACTAAAATAATATATACTTGCATGCGAAAATTTGAAAAAAAAATCAATTACAGAATTTGAGGGTCAAAAATTTTGAAGGAATCACAAAAAAAAAAAATCATTTTTTTTGCTAAAATGTTACTAACGAATTTTAGTTGCAAACAAGGATATGCGTTCTGCAGCAAGAATTCAAGGAAACATATGAAGAAGTTCAAAATTTGGAGAGTGAACTGAAGGCATTAACAGAAACCAACAACGAAGAACAAACGAAATTGGTGCCGGTTTTTTATCTTTTTGGCAAATTGTAGCAAAAGAACGATATGAGGAAGGTCCAATGATAGTGATAATGGCGATATTAACGATTATTTAATTAACGAATTGAATAATTTGGATAAAAATTAGTTGAATGAAAATCAATTGAGTGAAAAATTAGAAATTAAGAACAATTAAAAATAATTAAAATCAATAAAATAAAAATAAAAAATTAAAAATAATTGAATAAAAATTAGAAAAACGAAAAATTAGGTGTTACTGGGATGTTTCCACGTATCGCACCAGTTACAACAGGTCTCTCCTGGGCTTAAATGCGTTAAAATGCTTTTAATTCCTTGTTCACTGTGTTCCAGTACCACAAATTTTTCGTGGCTTAGCGATTTTCCCAGTTTTTTTTTTGAAGGTATTTATTGAAACCATGAGAATAATCAGTCATTTTTTTTGAGGAAGATAAAAAAAGCATGATCAAACGTCTGGTTTCCCAAAACGAAGCTGCCGAACGCGATATTGTCAATTCACCGGATCGTCTGCAATCTGAGCAAAATGATTTGGCAAAATATTTGGGTGATATCGAAAAACAGTTTTCGATTGAACGGTACACTTTTTTTCCCCTCTTCGAGCCTCACCCATCGGCATCTTGCCCCTTCGTAACTCGTGGAAGGAAGGGCCATTAATGGTCTCGCTAGC